TGTTCAAACAGCCTTTTTCATAGCGCATACATGTGTAGTAAACTTGATGAAACACTAGTAACAGTACCAGAACTCTCCTGTAGTTCAGTCCAGCGGAGATGACTGTGATTTTAACTTCTTGAAGGCGTCGGCTTTATTCAGCACACTGACATATCCCAGGGCCAGGTTATGGTCCACACGTCTGCAGCTGAACAACTGGAACAAAGATAAAACATGGCAGAAAATGCCTACCGACAATCAATTACAGACCAATCCTGTCTGTCCGTCACAATATCTATCTATTAGCAGTTCAACCAATGATAGCGAGGTAATTAGCAGTTCGACCAATGATAGGATGGCAATTAGTAGTTTGACCAAATATAATAAGGCATTTAGTGGTTTGACCAATGATAGCAAGGCAATTAGTGGATTGACCGATGATAGCAAGGCAATTAGTAGTTTGACCAATGAGAGTGGCTGCTCGTCAAATATTTGCAATTTTTACTAATAAAACATCAATTTTGTATTTCTATGTTTTGTTGGGGGATACTAGTATGGGGCCAGTTTATTGTTCTATATTATTAGTGCTTTCATGTACATCATGTACAATTTATTGTACTACATGTCATGTACTGTGCATATTGATCTGGATACCATGACTTTGTACAGAGTGCTAGCTGAAATGCCTTGTCCTGTTGTTTTCAAATATATTCTGCAAGCCTTCACAAATAATGAAAATACCACTAATTTGCTTACCAACACTCTAGGCGAATGTGGCACTGATATCCGTTATATATATGGAGATAGGAAGTTAAAGTAAAAAGTAAACGACAATATACACGAAATTGAACAGTAAGTCTTGTCCAATACAAACCTTTGTCAAGAGTGCAGTGATGAACTCACTGCCCAGGAAAGACCCCTGTTTAACCATAGCTGCCAGTGTCTGCCTTTTTATGGTCTTCATTGCCTGCTGCTATATATACAAGATAAATACTGTAAGTACATTACATTAACTACTGGTATATGTACATGTTTAAGTAGAATTGTGGAAAAAAATTTACCACCTATAACGCCATGTTGATTTGATTAATATATTGATGACACCCGCACAGGCATGAATTTCCATCCGATATTCTGAAACTTTCCTTAAAATTTTTCATACCGTAAAGGGTACAAAGTGGCTACAAAAGTTTGCAAAAGTTGACTCAAAAGTTAACAAGAAAGGTAACATTTCGAAAGCAAATTCATAATGTTTACCTTTGCATAAAGTCTGCTATGTTAATTCTTACTCCAACACATTCATATAATTATCCCTCTCTCTATATATATATAAATATATGGTGACAGGAGTCTAAATCCCTCTTACTATAAAATTGCAACATGATGTAACCCAACACTAGTTACCATGGTGACAGACATCTGGTTCAGGTCATATTGACCTTTTGTGTTTGGAACGGAAGAGGAAACAGAGCAAAAACGATGTGTAAACATAATTATCAACACAAATGAACCTTCAAAGTACAATATTGTACCTCAGCTTGTAGTTCAGTAGGCAGGGTGAGGATCTCATCTATGAGGACATGTTGGAGGCACACTCCCAGAGCCTGGACTGAGAACTGGAAGGCCAGCTGGTACAGACTGCTCTCCTGTAGGTACTGTACAATACTGGAGGTGCTGGCATGGATCTCATCAAGTACATGCTCACTGCTTTCATCTAAACAACAAGAAATCAAACTTAAGATATTGTACCTCCATGAAATATGAAATTATAGAGCAGTGTTCTAGCCAGGGACCATCTTTCCTTCCTTTGATGGAATTTTGTTGATCATGACATATATGATACACTGTCTCACCATTGCAATTTCATTATCATATTTAAAAAAAAAACAAGGAACTACATTACACATGTATTCCTTTACTCTCACCTCTCGAATAAAAGTACCCCCTGGAATAGAAGTACCCCCCGGACAAATCTTCAAAATCTAATAAAAGTACCCCCTGGAATAAAAGTACCCCCCGGAAAATTTAAAAATTGACATGTAAGCAACGTCTATGCTCCAAAAATGTGTTCTCATGGTGTGTATATATATATATGTGTACGTCTGTATGACCTTGTCACTTGCAATTATTGACAGGTCCTGAATAAACATACCCCCTTGAATATGATTCCCCCAACAAATCTTCAAAACTTTATAAATATCAGGGATCTCCCCAGAAATTCAGAACAGGGTGGAGGAGGGTGGTCTGGAAAACCCCCCCTCCATGGGGGGAAGCTATTGCATTTTGTCTTTTCCAAACACAAATGGAGGTCATTTCCTGCAACTTCAGTTCTACATTTTCTGTACAATTGCAGATGTATAAGGCAGGAGAAAGGTTCAAGATTAGAAAAAAAAGTTCTATTAGCACCCTAATTTTGAAAAAATTGGGCATAGGTTCCCCGGATGACCCCTAACCGGGGGCCAACGGTGCTTCCACAAGTTCAACAAGTGAAAAATACATGATACAAACTGTACATGTATTTACTACCTGGAACGTGGAGCAAGTTATTCCAAAGATGTACTTACTGACATTAATAAAAGTATATTAAAAACTAAACCAAATCCTATTTCCCAAACAAATCACATATTGACACAGCTGAACAAATAAAAATGTGATCATGTCTATAAACTCCACTCAAAACAATTTTTGAGAGACACTCGGGTACTAAGCGTGATAATCTCTAATATCTCATCTGATTCTCCCAATGTAAAGGATCTTTACAATCACAGCATCCAACCGCACATACATAGAAACAACAATATTACACAAGAAACCAATAAATTCGGAAAATTTCTCAGTAATGTTTGAAAATTATTCTTATTAAAATATAAGTGAATTTTTATTTCAGTTGTAGCCGAAAAAATATTTTCATGCGTTTAAAGTATCGTTTTAGCACTGTAATATGTACTTAGTACATGTTTTATACATTTGGATGCTATCTTGACCTTTGACCACTGTTATTCTAAAAGCAGGTCGGCCATTTTGTCTTTCTCGCCGTGGCTTTTCGAGCCGTTTTTTCGAGCAAATTTTAACCATTTTAAACATTTTACGGCCTCAAAAACTCATACAACGAGGAAAACAAGTTGTAGTTGTTATTTTCATGCGTAACATTTCTTCTGGGGATGGTTTATTTTTCCGCCGAGCTGCCGAAAACTAGCGTCAAACCGCAACCATGCGGTTTCTTCGCGGCGGCCGGCGGGAGTTTTTGTATCGGAGCTTTCACAATGTAAACAAAGATAGTCGGAGTTGTTTATCTGAAAATTTTGTTGTGAAACGCCAGCGGGGTGTCAGATTTTCTACTAATGACAACGTTTTCTTTGTGGCGTCATGGCGAGATCGACAATTCATCGACAATTCACAGGAATTTGTGCCGACAATGGAATGAATTTTCCCGGAACTTTTCCGATTTTGAAAAAAGAAATAAACGTACCGTCTAAAATAAGAATGTACCGGGTGGATTTTGAGGCGAAAAAAAATAAACGTCCCGGTACGTCTATTAAAGAGTTCAGAGTAGATACATGCAAACAAGACTAATAAGAAATTAATTTTCTATTTTTAAGTTAGTAAACCTTTGCAATTAACTCACCATCTTCAGGAGAGGAGCTTCCTGCAACTCTAGCATGATTCAGTGGAACAAGAGGACCTTTCACACTGCAGCCTAAGGGAAGAAATTAAAGGTGTTTTCTTCCTTTTTTTTTTTTTTTTTTTACAAATCAGTAGTCGCGTGGTGAGCGGCACAATTACAAGCTTTTTAGGGGGCTTTTTGAAATTCGTAATGCTCTCAAAACACTACTTCTTGCATTTTGAGGTGCACATTTTAAGGAATACAGACTGCAGCCAAGTTTTTCCTTTGTTACAACATCAGTTTTGTATATATTAAGTAAGGCTGAAGGGAGGCATGTGTGCATGGCAGGGGTTGGGAGTGGAAAAAATAGGGTGTCTTTAGGGTGTCCTACCAAAAAAGTAGGGTGTCCAAATTCTTGTTATTTTTAGTACAGGGCGTCCAAAAGACACCCAAGACACCCTCTAGCTAAAAGCCTGGTTGACTTAGAATGTAAAGTTCTGGGTTTGAAGCCGTGGCTAGAACCAATTGAGTGCCTACATGTAGCTTTGGTTAGGGACGTACTCTCAGATGGGACATAAAGTCGGAGGTCCCGTGTTTGAGGAAAGCCACACCTTGTACATGTATGTGCAAATGCTGTTTATCAGTTAGGCCACAGCAAGTAATTTTTATGGATGACATCAGCGTGCGCATTAATTTTGGCCCGATTTTGGAACAAAAAACAAGAAATTTTGTTGCCTTCTGACAATGCCGAAATGAGCAAAGAGGTCTGTTGCCATGCCGGAAGGTGGATGGCAGATAACTATGAAGAGAGGAGACAAGAAAAGGCTCTGATTTACTGTTTTGTTTCTTACTTTGATGCAGTGATATGTGATGCTGGCTGTGTATATGTGATGTTCCCACTGAATCAAAACCCATTTAACACAATAATTGAGTCAAAAATTTAAAATGTAGGAACCATGTTTTTTTCGGCCCGTCTTGTTTTTCCTCCCTCCCATTAGATTTGGAGTCTGCGGATTGTCATACATAAAATTTACTTGCTGTGGCCTTATGTAAAGCAAACAAAAACAAACAAACAAACAGTTTGTACCTGGTTGTGGAAGGCATGCTAAGGTGAACTGGTAAGTGAGTGGCATGGCGTCAGCAGTGTCCAGCACTAGTCCATCCTCCTTGAAAAAACTGTCGTAAGTCCACTCTGAGTACGGGTCCTTCTGGGGACCAGCTAGGTGATCTTCTTCTGCTGGCTATAGTGAGCATTTAAGAAAAAATGATAGGTTAGACTTAGATTTTGATATATTAATGACAGTAATATTGTCCTATCCACGTATGGTTAAACTTAAGGTTCTCCGCTAAGTTGAACAAGAAAAAATACATGATACAAACTCTACAGCTAGGTGATCTTCATCTTCTGCTGGCTATAGTGAGCATTTAAGAAAAAGTGATAGGTTAGACTTAGATTTTGATATATTAATGACAGTAATTCCTTAGGTTTACTTGCTTCAAGCTCCAGGTAGAAAATGCATGTAGAGTTTGTATCATGTATTTTTTCTTGTTCAACTTAGCGGAGAACCTTAAGTTTAACCATACATGGATAGGACAATATTTTTCTGGTGATGCTCCTAGATTTTTGCTGGTGTGGCCAATTGTTTTGGGAGCACAGTGCTCCTAAGTCAAAAAGTTAGTCTGGAGCCCTGCACTAATGTCTTTATAACAGTTCTAAATAATGTAACAGTTCTTTTCTGAAGCAAATAATACATTGTGACTACATGTATTTATACAATTGCAAGACTAGTTATTAATGTTAATAATAATTATGTTATGCCATTGAAGTAAAAAAGTAGTATGCCATTAAAACTAGTTTTGTAAAAAAAAAATTTGTGAATTAAAAAATTGTGGATATTTAGACATTAGGCCATGTTGGTAAGTCTTATGGATCATATAGATTATATGGATGACATCTGTGCGTGCATGAATTTTTGGCCGTTTCCAAAAAAAAGTTTTCAACCATGCTGTAAATCATACAAAACAGTTGCAAAATTAGCAAATATATACCGTAAGGTGCACAAAAAATATTGGAAAACAATATCAATGTTGTAGAATGCCAAAATCGACGAAAAGACGAAAATGTAAAGAAATGAATTTGAAGAGTAGATTATTCGCCATACCATACCCAGTGTCATTTGTTCAAGCTTCATAACAATGTAGATTTCAGAATGAAAGCAACTTTTTTTTGCCAAACTTTTTTTTTCGCACAGTCGCATCAATTTTGGGGTTCCCATAGGATGTCATCCATATAATTAAATCAACATGGCCTTAAAATTGCTTGATATGTGACAAGGTAAGTTCTGACCTGTACAGATACATCGTAAGCCGCCTTCTCACACTTCTGGTAAACCCTCAGGGACAGAGAGCTGCACTTACACAACTCCAGGCAGTCACAGATCAGGTCTGAAGGTAAAAAAGAGATGTACACTCCTTAGCCTCATGAGCAGACTTCTTGGAGCGGCAGCATTTATTTTGAGTTCAGGCCACACCAATTTAATTTCTTGGTTAATGGATTTTTCTAGAAAAATAATGGAGCGGGCGGGCGAAAAAAAAAAAACAGGCCTAGGCATCCTATTATGGCCCAAATGGTACGATAGGAGCCATGAAGTCAACACACCAGGCTGGTTCAAAATTTAAACAATGAATTTTGAACTTTTGATGATACCATTGCATTGAAAGATGGAATAACTGTAACAACTAGGATGAAAAGGGCTGTCTTCAACTGTTCAGGAAAAAATATGAGCATTTTGCAGTTGATTGAATTTCTGAATTTTTATTTCTACTGTATTTGAAAATCAGAAAAAAATGAAGCAGGCGAATCCGTTAACCAAGAAATTAAATTGGTGTGGCCTTATCAAGAGTTGGAGAGGCAAAACTCCCTCCACGGCATAACCCCCTCTGCTACATTAGAGAACCCCCCCAAAAAATTGACTGCCCCCCCTCCCCCCCAAAAATAAATGTTGCCGCTCTAGGAATTCAGCAAAGTTAAACCATTAGACAAATTTGTCTTCAAGTGAAATGAAAACTAACTGATGGTTTAAGTATAACTATTTTGATTCATGGTTTGGAGTGTTCATGTGCCGTATATGATGCACTGAAATAAGCAATGTCAAAGTTGGAGGCCTACAATGTAAACAAAACTGGTTTCTGAACAGTTTTCAGTGTGATCCATACATGTACTTCCAAAAGTCTGAGTGGTGCGTTGTACAGTACAATTTGCAATTGTCTGGTGCAGGTAACTTTCAATGTTACAGTTAGTACCGTTCGCGTTATAGTTACCCGGGTACCCCATTACTAACGAGATAGATTTTCGTTTAGGAAAATCGTCAGAAATGATTTCTAACGCGTTAACGTTTGCGTTAATGTGATAGGGTTGGATTTCATGTTTGTTTTGCGCGCCGACAAGTCAATGCCACCTCCTGAGGCGTCCGCTAATGTGTTGCGATGTTGCCCCTTGAAAAATAACAGTACCAGAGGCAAGTGGACATGTGATTCGTAAAATAACTTTGTGGTTTATCCATGTGTTGACTGTGTGAAGCAAATTGTGCTATCTTTTAATGCTATTCTATAGTTATTTCTAGCGGAAAATTACGTTGTGTAATATGTCAGCAAAGTGTAGCAGCAGGGTTCAAGCGGACGTCTTGTACATTTTGTACAAGT